AAAGAGGCAAGAGGACCCAGAGTTCAGTCATCCTAGGCTATTTATCCAATTGTAGGCCAGCCTGGAATACATGAGATCCTACCTATCCCCCAACCAAATATTTTTTAGTGAAACTATGCTACTACAGAATATGTAAAATACAGAGAAACATTTTTTTAAAGATCTAACTATGTGGGGCTAGAGAAATGGCTCAGCGGTTAAGAGATTGGCTACCCTTGCAGAGGACTAGGGTTCAGTTTCCAGCACTCATATGGTAGCTGACAATCCTGTCCGTTACTCTTTTCAGGTGATCCAATGCCCTCTTCTGATCTCCATGGGCATTGCACAACACAGGTGCATTTACATACATGCAGGCAATATATTCACACACATAAAATGAAAATAATAAATTTTTTTTTTAAAAAAAAGAAAGCTACCTATGCATGAACCAGAGAACTAGGCAGTATGTAGTGTTCTTCCATGACTTCTGCCTCCAAGTTCCTGCCTTGAGTTCCTGCCTTGACTTCCCTCATTGATGGATTGTGACCTGGAAGTGTAAGCCAGCAACTTGGGTGCAGAGTGTTTTATCACAGCAACAGAATGAAACTAGACTAGATAGTATATTCTAAAAAATATTTTTGAAGTTTTAAAAAAAGCTTTATTTTTTTAGTTTTGATTAATTATGTGTGTTTGTCTTTGTGAGGACGGTGCCTGCAGAAGCCATCATAGCCTCCAGCAGCTGGAGTTACAGGTGGTTGTTAAGTTGCCCAACATGGGTCCTGGGAAGTGAAATCAGGTCCTCTGGAAGAACAGTATGTGTTCTTAACCACTGACCCATCCCACCAGGTTGCTAAGAACAGATACTATACTCCTGTTAGGGGTTGTGGAAAGGAGCCCTGGATCCTTTTATAATTTTTTTTGGCTGAGTGTGGGGGAACACCTGTAATCCTAGCACGCTGTAGACTGGGGGAGGGGTATTGAGAGTTTGAGACCAACCTGGATTACATAGTAAGACCTTGTGTCTCAACAAGTAGCAGCAGCAGGGCTGGAGAGATGGCTCAGTGGTTAAGAGCATTGGCTGCTCTTTGAAAAGACCCAGGTTCAGTTCCCAGCACCCACATGGGGGCTAACGACTGTCCTTAGCTCCTCCTCTCAGACCCTACCTTCCACAGTTCTACCACCACCTGATAATGCTATCATATTTTCAATCCAACAAGGCATTCATTCATTCATTAGGATTAGACTGCTCATGGTCCAATTGTTGCTAGATAAGACAGATTCAGATGTATGCTTAGCTAATCTCCCAGGTGTTTCCTAGTATAATCAAGTAGACAGCTCACCAGCACAGATGGGTCTGATTCATAGCATCCTAGGACAACCACTTTGCTTCACAAACTGGAAAGCTAAGACATACGAACCAGTGTGCCACCAGGACTCAGAAATGACATGCCCTCTACTCTTTTTTAAAAATATTTATTATTTTCATTTTATGTGTATGAGTGTATTGCCTGCATGTATGTGAGTGCACCCGTGTCGTGAAATGCCGCGGAGGTCAGAAGAGGGCTTCAGATTCCCCTGGAACTGGCGTTAAGGACGGTTTGTAGCTACCGTATGGGTGCTAGGAATCGAACTCGGGTCCTCTACAAGAGCAGTCAGTGCTCTTAACCACTGAGCCATCTCTCCAGCCCACCCTCCCCTCTTAAAACAGTTTCACTATGTAGCCTTCGTTGTTCTAGAACTTACTTTGTAGACCAGGCTGTCTTTAAATTCACATAGATCCACCTGCCTCTGCCTCCTGAGTGCTGAGACTAAAGGTGTGTGTCATGATGCCCAGATCATTTTGGTTTTAATTTGAATTTCCCTAATGACTAATGATATTGAACCAATTTCCATTTGTATTCCCTTTATCTTGGCAAAATGTTTGTTTGTTAAAAATCCTTAGTACAGCCGGGCGTGGTGGCGCACGCCTGTAGTCCCAGCACTTGGGAGGCAGAGGCAGGCGGATCTCTGTGAGTTCAAGGCCAGCTGGGGCTACAGGGAGACCCTGCTTCAAAAAGACAAAAAAAAAAAAAAAAATC